ATTTAGGAGACTGCTTCCAAAATTTATGGATTTAAGATATATGTATACATTACTAAAGGAGCGTTTTTAGTCTATGGTAGATTGTTATGTAGAGAGTCGCGCTTCATAGTGCCTCTCAGCTATAAGCAAATTGGTTGACACTATTATCGAATCGTCTATATGGGAACCGGAATAAATGGAGTGTTGCAATGAAACATGAACATGTAAAACATGAATGTATATAACCGCGTGGCGATTTGGCGAATTTGCTTTGAGATCAAAATATTGGGCAAGTGATTATTGCGCTAAACATGACTCTGCCATAAAGCAATGATTAAGAATGATCTGAAATAATGCCATAATGCATAAATCCTGCAATAAGCCTTCTAACCCGAAAAGCTTGCACTCTTACACTTAGACACAGAGAGGGTGCATCATATGTTCTTTTAAAGCTTTTAAGTACATTTAGTAATTGGTGTTTTATGAATGAGTTAAACTCAAGGTGAAGAATCAGTGGAGAAACTGTTTTCATATGAGACTTATGTCTGGTATTGATGATTAAGTGTATAGATTGCCCTTAATAATGCTTTAGAAAGAGAGTTTGTTAGTTGACAAAGATCCATAAGTTATATTAAACTAGAAAATGATTATGGAGATTAATTAGGATCAGAGGTTTAAATGTGCTCAAAGTTATTAGCAATGGAAGCTCGTCAGTGTGAAGCACTTCATTTAGTGGTTTTGATTAAGCTATTTCATGAGTAATATTTTAAAATCATCTAGACATAATAACTAAGGCTAAATGAGATAATTGTAGTGTTTAATGATATTAATGGAACTTGATATAGTGCAGATAAAAGAAAGTATAGATAAAGAGCATGGGTAAAGAGCATGAATAAGTGGGACTGTTTGAAGGATGGGGGCGGGTGGGGCTTTAAGAAAGATTTTGGATGAATCATGTGAAACTTGCACATTAGACTTTATTGCTATATTATACACGCAATGATGCTAGTCTAAATAAGAGGTGAGAAAACACAAAAGATAAGGTGAAGGAGAGAGGGCCAATATAAGGAGAGGAGAAGAAGAAAAGAAAGAAAGTTGATTTCTCTTGAAATTAGCATTTGAATAAAAGGGTTTTGCTAGAAATCATGCCAAAGGTGAGTTAATCTTTATTTAATCTAGTTATTTTATATTTGGAGGAAGATATGGTTAGGGTTTTCAAAAGAGTTTTTGGGAAAGATTGAATCTTTGATGGAAAATTAGTGCAGTAACCATGAGTTTTAAATGGTGGTTTAATTAGTTTAGTAATTGATTATATAAACATGGAATTTAAGCTTTAATTTGATATGAATTGAAGAAAATCTTACTAAGTGCCCAAGGATGGAGATTCCTGCAACTTCAAAACTGATATGGAACATGATCATTTCGTTTTGATTGATGAGTTTAATTAAGTGTTTTGATGTTAAGCTTTCTAATGATGTTATCAGTGTTTTAGTTTCAAAAGATGGTGGTTTTTAAATTGAGTTATCCATTTTATATGGTTATGGAAGTCAAGAGTTAAAGGGAAATGTTATTATTGTGATATTATGGTGATCTCTAAACATTTTAATTGACTAAGTAATTGATTGAATTGATTACAGGAATTGGTTTACTAATTGTTGGAAATACATGGGATTTCCGAGAGTTCGTTCAAAATCAAATAGGAATACAAATGTTAAGCATTTAAGTGCATAGTAGACACACCAACACATGTTTGCATTTAAAATGCCAAGAATGAGTATTTTTAAGGTGCTTGCATTTATTCATAGTAGGTAATAAGAATCATAGGGAGATAGAGTGAAAGAGAAGTCAAGCTCTTCCAAGGCCTAAAGCTACAGGCTTCTTAATGTAGCTTATGAGTAAAGCTTATGAGTGGTTATTTTGTAATGTGACTAGGAATGATTTGTTTGTTATGTGATCAGTTGATGATATTATTTTATACTTATTTATAATCTGAAAAGAAATGATTTTGTTTGAAAAGAGGCAGTACAAAGGGTATGTGTTAATTTCCCGAGGCAATGAGCCTATCTGAATTGGAATGCAAAGTAATGATGAAGATTCTTCTAAAAGTAGGTGAAGTTAAGCAAAAGGTTGATGTGTTTTTCTAATAGAGCAAGTGAGATTAATACTGTGAATGTATTCGTATACAGATATCTACATCTGAGAGTATAAAAGTTGAAGTTATGACATGTACATTCGAACAACTCGTGAATTTGATCTGTTGATCTGGAGTTTTACGCTCGTTCATGGAATCTGTCGCTAAATAGCAGTGGTTCTCATAAATCTGTTATTGGTGGAGCTGTATGCTCATTAATTCTTTGATAATCTGGAGTTATATGAAGCTCAAAAATTTGAATCTGGAGTTTGGCGTGCTCAAGATATCTGATGGCTAAAAGCGCTGGGCAAGACTAAATCTGTTTATCTGATACTGAATCGCGGAGTCGGAAATTTGGTTTGACAAGTCTCACATTAAATAATGCTAGGTACAATGCATCTTGCATTAATCGTTCTAACAATATAGTCTCTGTAGCATCGTAACTTGGATGCCTTGAATGAACTTATCTAAATTTTTGTCGCAATGGGATGATACATGATGATTGGCACAGAGGTGCGACGATGTATTGTTTGAATGATTGTTGATCGAATGACTGAGATTTATTATCTCGAATTTAATTGTTTGGATGTCGAGCATGTGGGATGGCCGAAGAGTTAAGAGCTGATTGATTAATTGGAGTGCCAGACTATGTGCTTTATTCTGAAATGCTCATTGATATGCCTAATTGTTCTTGTCAATATAATATTTTCATGATGGTTTTTGAACTCGACTGAGGATGGTCCTATCTCATATTAAAATGCTACTGTTTTTTATCCAGACTATGTATAGGTTAGCTAAGAGGCATTAGCATGATCGCAAATGTACAATCTGTTCAGGCTGACTAACACAGAATTAGCAGGTCAGAATTCATACTTCCATATAAATGCTACATGTTTTTTCGCAAATTTTTTAGTACTAAGTAGGTTTAGCAAGTCAGAATTTCATCTCATCTAAAATGCTAAATGGGATTTTTCATGATTTTTTAGTAACTAAGAAGGTAATTCAGACAGTTCAGCATTCCCATCTGTTCAGACTTGACAGAAATGAAACAAGCAGGTAGGGATCAGTTGGTGGTCTATAATTATGTCCAACCGTCTTCAGTTTTGTAAATATGTTTTTATAGGAATATAAAATGCTAATGTTTTTCCAGATTTTAGTACTAAGAGGTTTAGCAGTCAGAATTCCATCTCATATAAAATGCTAATGTTTTTCCAGATTTTAGTACTAAGAGGTATTAGCAGTCAGCATTCCATCTGTTCAGACTGACAGAAATGGAACAAAGGTCGGGATCAGTTGTGTCTATATATGTCACCTCTTCAGTTTGTAAATATGTTTTATAGGAGTTTAAAACTCCTTAACGTCCACTATGTATTGAGTAACTTTTAAATTATGTCACCTCTTCAATTTGTAAATATGTCTTATAGGAGTTTAGAACTTCTTAACGTCCACCATGTACTAAGTAACTTTTAAATTATGTTTGGTCATGTATATATTTATATGTCTGTTGCGAAAAGTAATGAATTTTCTAACACTAGTTCTTACTGTTTATCACATGGTGCAACTTATATTTCTGTTAATGGATATGTATGACATATTATGTAGCATCTTAACACTATTTATCCTTGGATATATGGTGTAAGGGTGTTACATACAGAGGCTACAGCGTCTATCCTTAAATTACCTCTCGCCTTCATAAAAGAAAGACAAAGTCACGACATCGATGCCTTAAAGTTATGGACTCAATCCATTAAACTTCTTGCAATCGATGGATGGGTTCTGCTTCTTTTAGCCTTCCAAAACTCGCAAACGTCCTCAACCTTCTTCCTCTCTATATTGCGTTTGATGTGGGCAATAACCATATATTTTACAAATTTACCCTTCTTTTTTTTTTTTCTTGCACTTACATATTTATCCTTCTTACTTTAAAAAGTATCACAACATTCTCCTTACATAGAATTGGACAGCAGCTATACATGTGGGACCCACTTGCATTCATGTCATATAGCTAGAATGGTGGAACCTATGTGTTAGTCACCCTAGCAAGTGTTTGGAAGGCCAAGAGTTGGTTTGATGCTAATGTACATATTTGTCTTGTGAGGTGCAAGTAGCACCAACGGTTGGCTTGTGCTTGGGCAAAAGGGTTGGACCTGTGCATAAAGGACCAAAGTTATGCTAGTACATATACTCTAATAATATTTTTTACTTCCTATGCATTTTTAACATGTTAATGTATTATGAAGTATCTATATTCTCATATATGCATTGCACTAGCAACTAGGAGCATGATGTATGTGAATGATATGGATGCATTATGTTTATTGTTCTTGATGCTTCTATATGAATGTGTTAATGGATGAAGGATAAGATAAAATCGCTTTAGGGATTGATAATGTGATTGAGATAATAGTTATGGAAGGTTTGATGCCGAGTTGAATAGGGATTTGGGAATTTGGGGATTGGCTCCCAGTTAATTTGTTTCAATTAGTTGCTTGTGATGGTTTGCATGACCTATATGCATATGTGTCTAAGCATTGAAAATTGTACATCTTATGTCGCTTGAGCACAAGTGAATCCTATTATTATACTATGCTATTCACTAAATTAAACACGAACTCCAAATTCCGCAGGTGTTATATAGATTCGTGTTGAGAGTTTTCCGTTCCTAGCTTACCAGCATATATATAGATGGAGGCCATAAAGGTTGAAATGGACTTTCTTCCCTCCCCTCCCTTACCGATGATATTTACGAATTTTACCAATTAAGGTACAAGAGATAGCTTCTCCTTCCTCACTTGTTATAATTTCCCAAAATTGAGTCGTGTTACTTTACTCAGAATGCTGCAGAAATGTACACACACACACACGAGGCAGAGATAGAGAGATTTAGAGATACAACAAAATCATTCCATTGAACAAGGAAAAGAAATGTAATGGCATAACAAAGAGAATATTGTACAGCAAGTGCATTTACAATGAAATGGGGCGGCAAAATTACACCCCAGCGCGTGTAAATTGTAAAAAGAAAAATAAAAAATATACAAAATTGAGATTTCCAAGTTCCCCCTCTCACTATCTCCCCGCTTTCAATTTCCTTCCAACAAAAGCCTGACCCAAAAGTACTTTTTATTTCTTAGTTTTTTCTATCAACTATTCTGCAGTTATTTCCAATATGGTGGTAAGTCTTGGTTTTTTATATCTTCTAAGAAGCAAAGACGAACATACAACACTTACGGATGATAAAGCCATGCAAGCACCAGCCGCCCATGGTGGCAACACAATCCCTAATGTGGGAAAGAATACTCCAGCAGCAATGGGTATTGCAACTACATTATATGCCATGGCAAAAATGTAATTCAATCGAATGCGAGCCAAAGTTTTTCTTGAGAGATCGATTGCTGTGATTACGTCTTCCAAGTTATTCCTCATCAAGACATAGTCAGCAGCTTCTATGGCAATGTCTGTCCCAGCCCCAATTGCCATACCAACATCAGCAGCAGCTAAAGCGGGAGAGTCGTTGATACCATCACCCACCATTGCAACTATACTTCCATCCTTCTGAAATGTGCGGATGACATCAGCTTTACCTGCCGGCATTACTTCAGCCCTCACATCTTGAATGCCAACCTGCTCAGCAATACATATTTTGTCATAAACCTTTCGAAAAATATCACAAAGCCAGTTCTTTGCATTAAAAAATAGTAAAGCCAAGGAAAACAAATTTCACACAGGAAAAAGCAGGCGGGCTTCCTTTCAGATTGAAAATGCACACATAAAGGTGACAAATAATTCTGACTAAACATGCAGAGCCATATGATATGACAATAGCAGCCAAGGGAAAGTATTAGATCAACAGATAATCCAGTTCAAAAAGAGGCGTCAACATGGCACAAATAATATAACTAAACCATAAATTTATAGTTCACTTGACTGTAGGTTCCAGTAAAGAGACTAAAAAACTATCTATGCTTCCGAATAGCCCATTAAGTACATCATTTGATTAAAGATTCACTAATGTTCCTGCTTGGATCTCAATATTCTACTTCATATCGAGGCATTTGAAGTAATTATTGGTCAGGGTAAAGATTGATACCAACATTTTTATTGTGTTACAAATGGTATTCACAGGAATGGTCGTCAAGTGAATGCTTTCTTTTATGTGTATGCAACTGTATGAAGTTTCCAAATAGTGTTCAGTGGATTAGAGAAATCTTGACAAACCTCATTAGCGACAGCACGAGCAGTCCTCCAATTATCTCCTGTCACCATGATTGGTTTGACACCCATTTTCTGAAGGCCTTCTACGACCACAACAGCTTCTCTCTTTAATGGGTCTGCAATGCCCAAGACACCTATCAAGCTGTCATCAAATGCAACAAGTATGCCTGTCTTTGCACTTTCTTCTAATTCCACTACAAAATTTTCTACAATTGTTGAAATACTAACTCCACTTTCAGTCATCAGCTTCCGGTTACCAACCTATTAAGGATAGTGCCTCCTATAAGTATCCCAGCAGTAATTAAATAAAATATTTAACAATTAAGCATATGAAAGGTTAAAATTTGTGCCCTTAAGCTCACCAAAACTCGTTTTCCATCTATAAAGCACTTGACACCTCTTCCAGGAAGAGCAGTGAATTCTGAGACATCAAGTAGCCATCCAGATATTATGGAATCTTTACTCTTGTTCTGGTCATCCTTGGTTGCAGAAGGTTCATCAAAGAAATGGAAATGCCGTGCATATTCCAATATTGCTTTTGCCAATGGATGTTCACTGCTAGCCTACACCATGTACAGAAAAGGACAGGGAAAGGGATCAGTCAGTAAAATCCTACTATGATGCATACCATGAAAAGGAGAAACTTAAAGTGGCAACACCTCCAGTATGCAATTATTACAACAAGATATCTTGGCTTTAATTTTGTGGTTTCTTTTCCTGTAGCCAAAAATTAAAGGCCTAACTTGTAGCATCTTGTATTTTATTTATGAAATGATAGATAAGACAGCAGAAAAAATTGATGGACAAGATTTGGGGCCACAAGCAACAAGAGGAGGTCTGTATGGGCAAATACATGCATAGGCATCACACAGTTGACAAACAGTTGAAGGCAGGCATGCATACACTTGGATATTACTTAGTACATAAGGAATCACCTCTGCAGAAGCCACCCATCTGAGGAATTCTCCACGATCCATGCCAGTGAAAATCTTTGCTGTTGTAACAGTGGCTTTCCCCTGGGTTAGAGTGCCTGTTTTATCAAATATGACATACTTGATCTTCTGAGCCCTTTCCAAAGCATCTCCGCCTTTTATCAGCACGCCATTGTTAGCGCCAACTCCAGTTGCAACCATGACAGCAGTTGGGGTTGCTAAGCCAAGAGCACATGGACATGCAATTACCACAACTGAAATTGCAAACATGAGGGCAAAAACAAAGTAATTGCCATTTTCTGGAAGCCAATAATCTGGGTAAGCTCCTATAGTTCCACCAACATACCTAGCAGCAGTAATGACCAACAATCACGCAGAAGAAACATATAGAAACTTTAACATTACAAGTACCGCAACAGTATCAATATAGCAAAACAGGCCTTGTGAACTTACCAACCCAACAACGTTAACAAAGCCATGGCAACAACTGTAGGAACGAAAATGCTTGCCACCTGCAAGTCAAAAAGATGCACATTAGACAAGAAGGGAGTATAAGTCTGCATGCATAACCTCAGCAATCAGAGATTTCAGACCAGAAGTAAAGGACAAAGAGAAGAGAAAGAACTGGAGCACATATACAAAAATCAAAACATACATAATCGTGGCGGTTTCAATTATTGATAATTTCAACTGAAGTTTTGCCCTCTCTATTATTTTCATCCCAGATATAAGCATACTTAAAAATTCAGAGGATTCAAACAACAGAAGAAAAGCTGGCATGTAAATAAAAAAAAGGCCAAGTATGCAACACTCCATTATTGATGATACATCAAGTAATCGAAAGCTCTTTTAAACAAAGAGTATGTGATTATAAACATAAGACAACGAACACCAAGACAGTGTGATTGGAAACAGGCTTAAGCAGACGTGTAATCCCCCGTTCTAAAATAATGTAACAAAAGGTGGCAAATCATAACTAAGAATAGAAACAATCTGACAGAAAAAATTTATAGACAGAGCTAGGAAAAAATACAAATACTACAAATTTCACTCAAGGGTATGGATTAGTATATCAATGAGAATAGATGACTGCAATGAATATCTTAACCATAGTTGAAAATGTCTGAAAAAGATAACGTTTACCTAGTCTAAATAAAAATCATATTTAAGTTTTTGGCTGTAAATGCAACAAGAATTGCATTCTATCAACTAAAAACAAACGCAAGGAATATGTTACTAAAAACATTGGGGCCAATTAAAGCACAAACATAAATGACACTCACAAAATCTGCAAATTTCTGAATTGGAGCCTTGGACATTTGGGCTGTCTCAACCAAACTAATTATCTGGTTTAAAACTGCATCAGATCCTACTTTGGTAGCTTGTATTTGAAGAGCACCATGCAAATTTATTGTACCTCCAATAACCAATGAATCAGCCTCCTTCAAAACAGGCGCAGATTCACCAGTTACCATACTTTCATTAACATAACTTGAACCCCATACAACCACACCATCAGCAGGAACTTTTGTGCCTGGGAGAACTTTTAATGTGTCACCAGGCTGAATTAGCAAGGCATCTATTTCCCTTTCTGCAATGCATTTTCCACCTAGAAAACCAACCAAATATTATCATCTGTTGAATACCTATCATAGGTTCAGGTAAAAATTGTAAGTCTTACTAGCAGAAAAGAAAAAGAATTGAAAACTACCTTTGTCTTTGACAACCAGCAGTGCTGTTGCTGGTGCAAGTTCTACTAACTTCTTTATGGCATCTGATGTCTTCCCCTTTGCAAGACACTCCAAATACTTACCCAACAGTACAAATGTTATCAACATGGAACTAGTTTCAAAGTAAGTTGGAGACCAGAATCCAGTGGCTGCACCATATAGTAGTGCACAGACTGAGTAGAAGTACGAGGCTGAAGTCCCTAGTGCAACTAAAACATCCATGTTGGTTGAACCATTTCGAAGTGCTCTGCCAGCTGCTACATAGAAACGCTTCCCAATTACAAATTGAACCACACTCACCAACGCCCACTTCAACCAATCATCAACAAGAAATGGCCCACATCGCCAAAGAAGCAACGAATATAGAAGTGGGATATGAGGACATATAACTCGTATGAAAAAGACAGGAATCTGGATCCAATTTACCAATAATTAATAGAATAATACAAAAATAATAACCAAACGGCATGTTATAGGTGCTTCTCATATTCTGGGGAGAATAATAAATTTTTCTAAAGATCTACATACAAGGAATCTCATGTCTTTAAATAGAAGGTAGTAGAGGATATGCCTCTTAAAGAAGGTTTTCAGCGAAGATAGTAAGTGTAATTATGAACAGGCAAAATCAGACATAAAGTAATACAAAACACAATCAAATCCATGTATTTGTGTGAAAATCAGCATTTAAAGATAATCATGCACAGACAAAAATTAAAAGGAGAAAAGAACTGAGAAAAAATGCAATAAACTGAATGTCAAGAAACAAAATAATTTATAAAAATGACAAAAAACAGTGGAATGAAACATATATGAGTTCAAAACCATAAGCATGTCAGGAAAAAAACTCACGCTGAGAGACAAACTTGAAATGAAAAGTCGAAACATAGTGGATGTTTCTTCAACATCCTTAGAAGTCATCCTTGCATAAGGATGCATAACATGTAATTTAAACCTCCCACTGCTTCCCTCCTCAATCCCATCCACCAAAGATCTAGAACTGATGACTTCAGGATCAAAATGAACTTCTAGTTCATTAGACATCCTATTGTAACGGAATTGCCGCACACCTGTTAAAGTGCTAATTATTCCTTCCAAAACTTGTGCATCCATCTCAGTGAATATCCCAGCAACTCCTAGTATGATTTTATCCTGCTGATTACTCTGTACAAGTGAAGCATCAAAGCCAGCATCTTCAATTGCATTCACTATATCATCTTTACTAATTACAGTAGGATCATACTCAACTTCACCCAACGAAGTAGCCAATGCAACTACAGCTCTTCTAACACCAGGAAGATCTCTTAAAATACCTTCAACAGAGTTCACGCAGGCAGCACACGTCATACCTCCTATTGTAAAATGCCCCAAAAGGGTTTTATTTAGCTTTGTTTTAAATGTACTGGGTTCAGATAGAATCTCAGCTTCGAAGCCTGCGTCTTCAATTGCATTCTTGATGTCATCATCCTACATTAGCACAAATTTCAGATGTATAAATACAAAACTGCAAAAAAAACAGTAAAGAGATGCAAAATTATTAGCCAAGCAATTTATTGGTGCTGAAATGAAGAAGACAAGTATGCAAATAAATTTCTTACAATCATATAAATGTTTCGTAGAATCTGCAATCTAGCCAACTTCCATATCACGGTTATCAATACATGCCCAGATACTTGAAATTAATTAATAAAAATAACATATCAAAATTAATTGAGAACTTGTAACCAACACAAGTACCAATCCAGACAAAAGCAGAAATAACTTTTTTCTTAACCATTTCCAAGAGAACTTCCGGATTCAATTCAATTTACTAGACAAGCAATCATACAAGAAGCCCCAGCCAAGCCAAATGAAAAAGTAATTCAAGAACCAAAATTCTATAACAAACCTTCAGCATGCGATTATGTTCAAGAAAGCTTTAACCAACATCTTTATACTAATGTCAACGCAAGACTTTAACACTGTGTAAGAAAGCCATTCATTTTGCTTTCTTTACCACCGCCAAAACTCAGTAGTTGTATTATGATAAACAAATTTCTCAATATATTTATCTTCATGATCACATTCATTGATCCATGATAAATGCGTGACTCAGACCCAAACTATTCCACTAATATTTCAAATATTTGAACTGGAAATACAGAAACATAACCAGTTCAGAGCTTCAACATCAAAAGAACGCATTCAGCTCCTTTCCAAAGTCAGCACAAGCTAATAATTCAGTTATAACCCATATGATAACAACTAAGCAACATAGAATAGAATCACATAGTTAGAAACTCACATGTGAATAAATGCAGAGAAATCAGAAAATATGGTTGCTGGATATCCAAAAACATGAGTCTACCACTGTTCAGAACATCAAAAAAGCTATTCTTTAATCAACTTAGTTACCTATTTCACCAAATATTAGCGAATGCACCAAATGAAACAGAAGATTGAAGACACATGTACAAAAGAACTCCAATGATCAAAAAACACTGAAAACAAGATACATAGCTCAAATTTCCAAAAACTAAAATACCAATTATTTTCCCAATGCACAGAATCCAATCTAAACCATCAAAAAGCAAATAGAAAAGATTTTATCCAATCAAAAAGGGGGGAAAAAAAGTCAAGTACCATCACCAACCTTGACCAAGGACGGGTCAAAGACCACATCAGCCTTATTTTGAAGCAACGCGACGGAGGCTCTCAAAACACCATTAACGCTCTGGAGAGCTGATTCCACAGAATTAGAACAAGCAGCACAGGTCATTCCTGTTACTCTGACCTGAATTCTCCTCATGCCCTCTTCATCATCAATCGTAATTGTATGGGAATCATTAGAATCCTCAAAAGAATCAAGAAGTCTCACATCCTCCAAGTCACCGGCATCGTCTTCAGCCACAATCGCCGGCCGAGATTTCCGGCCACCAGCGACCGGAGTCAGCTGCAGGTCTCTTAAGCTCGGCGACATTCTTACCACCGAGCAAGAGACAAGGCACAATCTCTGACCGAAGAAGAAGAGAAAATTAAATTTTAATTTAAAAAGAAAAAAAAAAGAAAAAGAAAAAGGAAAGAAGAAAGTTAGATAGACACAGAGATTCTAGGAAGAGAGAGAGAGAGAGAGGCTTTCGAGGGAGAAAATTAGCGAGAGTCGGCAATTTTTTAACTTGAAATTTGCTGGTGGACGATTAGGAGGGGGCTTGCGCGCAATTACATTATTGCCCTTTGTACTTGCAGAGTTGGTGAATTTGTACTACAAATTCGTGCCATGTGCGTCTTAAGCTTAAGCAGTAAGAATATTGTTACACAATGTGTCGGAGCTGTCCCGTTTCGTTCGAACCTCTCTTAACTTTTCACGTAAATAGTAAAAGACCCTTTTAGTTAGATTTATCCTGAATAGAAGTGTGCACGGACCGCTCAATCCGTTTTTCAAAACCATCCCACATTTTTCATTTTAAAAAAATTTGATATTAATTTAATAATTTTATTCGAATATGGTTCTAAAAATAATTTTGAGATAAGACTAATTTTTGATTAAAATCATATCAATCTAAATTTCATTCCGTCCCAAAATTCAAATATTTATGTTTTTTTTTCTCTTTTTCTATGAATTTCAAATCATGTCCATGAAAATCACTTTCATCCTTTTTATTTTTTAGTTTTTTTTTTACACCAATGAGTTGTTAAGGTAATAATAATATGAAAAATATAATATGCATTTTTTAAAATATAAAATTAATTAATTGATTAAATATGTTTTTCTATATAGATATTTCTTTTATTATTTTACTACATGTTGAGTAAATCTTTTTGAATAATTTTTTTCTATTAACAAAAAGGAAAATTAATAGAAAACATTAACTTTCTTGTTAAAATAAATGAATTCCCACAAAATTTTGTATAATTTATTTATAAATCCTTTTTTTTTTTGTTTGGTATCTAAAAAATGAAGAATTAAATTGTACAAATTCAATTCTATGGATTTGAATATAAATAAACCAAATTCAACCAAAAAAGATGAATTTTCCAAATTAATTCCACAAGCTTAATCAACTCAAAACTTTATGACAAAACTATTCATTCTCTTAGTATTCTAAAATTATTATGCCAAGGATATTTTATGAATAAAAACAAATAAATTTTTAATTTTTGAATTTATTCCAAACATGAGAAACTCATTTATAATTGAATTTTGTCTTGAATTCATTTATAAAATGAATTCCACATTTTGAATCATTTATACCAAATGGAGCATAAATATAATTAATCTGATTATTGAATTACTGGTTATATTGAATGTAATCATTATTTATTTTTTAAATGATATTCATGATTAAATCAAGTAAATATTCAAAATTAAAATCAGTGATGAGTTAAAATCATAAAATATGCAATAAAGGTAAATTGTATATAGTTTTTGACTTATTTTTGGCCTAATGATAATTTTGCCTTTGAATTATCAATGTGTCTCCTAGTGGCTTCCTAAACTTTGTAGGGGGTTCTACTGTGATCATGTATTAATAAATCCTTCGCTAACCATGTCCGTCGTGTAGATTAAGGAGATGGTGCATTCAATAGTGTTTGGGAGAGTGAACATTGATTCTGTTCACCATGTGCATGTCCAACGTGGCTTCTCAGTGCCGTTAGATTAAAAACTCTCTCTACGGGCTATGACCCTTGTACATAACCCTCAAAGCCCAAAGAAGAACCATTAACGTCAAGAACAAAAGCATGAGCAAGACTTACTGACAAAAAATCAGAGCGAAGATTCCTACAACGATGCCGAAGATGACAGTGTGGTTGTTCTAACTCAGAATCAATCTAAAACCTAGCAATTGGATTGAATCGCTTCAAAGAGTCTCATTCCTCTTTCCTTTTTACCAACTCAGTCCCATCTCCCTACCATAATAACATCTCTTCGGCTTGCTCTATAGATCAATAGCAAAAAGCCTATAGTTATGAGTTATCTGGTCTTTGACTCGCTTCTTGCTTTGCCTCACCCAGTTCTATGCTGTTCTCCATGCACAGTGAAAGAAAGCAAATTGACGAATGATCTCCAAAAAAAAAAAAAAAAAAAAAATCGCTTCTTGCTTTGCCTCACCCAGTTCATGGCTGTTCTCCATGCACAGTGAAAGAAAGCAAATTGACGAATTGGGATCTCCAAAAAAAAAAAAAAAAAAAAAAAAGAAGAAGAAGAAAACAGATTATACATAAACGAGGAATGTTCCTTTGATTAACATCATTTTATTTATTTTTTTCCAGTTCACAAAAAAAAAAAAAAAAAAAAAAAGAAGAAGAAGAAAACAGATTAACAAAACGAGGAATGTTCCTTGATTAACATCATTTTATTTATTTTTTTCCAGTCATCATTTTGTTAAATTTACTTTTATTTATTTTTATTCATTCAATATTTTTGTTCTATGTGCATTGCATGTGTTATTACTCGGCCTACGTCATTGTCATGTATGCTTCAATTGCTTCTTACATTTTGGCAAGGAGACATGGTTATTAAAAGATTTGTTAGTATAAGCTCACAATAGAACCCTTGCAAAGTTCGAGGGGCCACTAGGTGAAACGGCAGTAGTTCAGGGGCAAAATTATATATTAGGCTAATTATTTATATGCTTTTATTAACTAGAAAGTAACAACTAACAAATCTTCTATTTTATACTTTAGTAGTAGATCATCAATGATTAAATTAATTATTTAACTTATTCTTTTTTTTAATTCCAATTTCTATTGATGAATTTTATTTAATTGTAATTGATGAATATAGTAATTTTATATTTTTTGGTGAAAAATAATTTAATAACACTATGGAAAATCCTGATTAATTTTCAACTCAATCCGTTCTGATCCGTTCCATGTATCTGAATTCTCGTAGCAATTTCATTATGGAATATCTGAATTAAGTAAATGATTGAAACACCTTAGTTTTTAAAAATAAAGGTAATTTACTAAATTATCCTTATATTAATTCTCTAATTATCCACTTGTACTAATATTATTAATTATCTACTTTTATTAATTCTCTCACATTATTAATTATCTAACTCAATTAATTTCTCTTTCTTCTCACAAACAATAAATGCTATCATTCCTTCTATTGACTCCATTAATCTAGCATTAACTTGAATTTCATTCTAATGCGATACTTTGAATTTATGTTTTCTACCAATTTTTTAGTATATAAATTTATGAATTTTTTCATTTCCTAGGAAAGATATAACAAAAAACATTTTCCATTTTCTTTAAAGAGAAGTTTTTTTTTTTTAATTTTTGGGTTTTGAGTAAAATAATTGTAATGGAATAATGACATTGATATTCAGTACTGAGTTCATGGTTACGTCATATTGATCTAATTATTAATAGAAAATTTCATTTTACAAGATTATATGGATGGCCTGAGGAGGATATTGAAATCTTTGTTTATTATGATATTATCTATTAGTCTATCCGTTTTATTTTAATAGTAACATTTCAATTTAAAAAATGATTGAAATATATTGATTTTTATAAAAATATGTAGTAGAATGCATAAATTTCTCTTCTTAAAATTAAAAACTCTCCATTTAGGAGGGTGTATTGGATCAAGACTCTATTAGATTTTAAAAGATTTTAAAATTTCAATAGTATTCAATCTATATTTTTTTGGAGTATATTAAAATCTTGTGGTATTCGATTCAGACTTTTATAAAATCTATAAAAATCTTATGGTATTCAATTATGAATTTTTAAAAATCTATACAAATTTGATGGTATTTAAAAACTTACAAATTTGGAAGGATTTTATAAAATTACTAATTTCATTGGATTTTAAAGTGCTAGGTATGAATAAAAAAGTCATTCACAAATACATTCTCTAATTCAAAGATTTCAAAAATCTTTTAAAATCTAACAAATGACTTATCCGTTTAAAATTTTACTACTTGTATCCATTCTAAACCCATTCAAATACTCAATTTAAGTACTCGTATACAAACTCGTTTAAATTTTATTATCCTTATATGTCCAAAACTCATTTAAAGTACTTCTTAAATGGGTAGCGTACCCATGAATCTTAAACTATCCAAATTCAAACTTATTTAAATTATATTTTTAGTAATAATAGATAAGATACTCCCGAGTATCTACTACCGAACCTATTTAATATAGCAGTTAACAGGTAGCGGGTATCCAAATATCTATACACGTGTTATTATGGGTATTAATTTTACTACTTATATTCGTTACAGGTAGTAATTTCACTATCCATTTCTGTTCCAAACCCATTTATAATTACCCATCCTCTTTAAATGGAATGGATCGGAGCGGAACAGATACCCTAAAATACTTGTAGCACTTCTATTCCTACCCTTTAAGATGTAAAATAATGTATTAATTATTGGATTAGTTTTAAATTAATTCATGTGCGGAGAATTTGATATTTTGTTCAAAATTAATATTAATGTTGCTGCAAATTTTCTGAATTAATTTGATTATTTTTTGAAATTTTTATGGGTTGATTGCAATTAGATAATGATTTAATCAAATAAAAAATGAAAAAGCTTTGAAATAGTCGAGGAACTAAAGAGTATAATCTGTCATTGTTATGTCTGACTGCTAGGCTCCATGAGCCGTAAGTGACAGGCCATGCATCGGGCCTGTCTTGATGTGCGCTGCCTCTTTGCATGAGCTCTGGCAATTGGTGTAGGTCCTGGCTAACGGTGGTCGTTGATTTTTGGTTTTAAATTTATATATATATAAATCTGCGATTTTCCGACAAGACGGTAGTCGTTCAATCAAGGGGCGAGAAGCCTGTGGTCTTCTGATCACATTGTGGCTGTTCTGGGAGCACAGGAGACGTTGGCTATTGCAAGCCTTTCACTGTCGTCGGGGCTAAGGTTTTAATGAAGAAAAAAAAAAGATTTTGGAGAAGATGATGCATTTTACTTATTGATCCCTCATTATTTTTCAATTTTTGAATTGGGCTCCAAAACCTTTTAATTTGTTCAACTAGGTCCTTAAATTAATTTTTATTAGATATAAAAATCATTGTAATTCTATCAAAGTTAATTAAAATCTATAAAAAAGTCTCATCAATTTCATAAAACTCTATGTAAATTCTAGTGGAATCGTTGAAAATTTTAGAAAATCT